TGTGTGTGTGTGTGTGTGTGTGTGCGTATGTGTATGTTGGACCGGCTTAATGTGTTTATGTAGTATGTTGGACTAGTTTAAGTGTTTATGTAGTTAATAAAACCTTACTTGTATCACACTTGACGTGTTCATTGTTTACTCATAACCGGAGTCAATAATCATGCAGATTTACGTTACAAGCTTATAGAATTGTACAGTAAGAAAGTTATTTCCCTTAACCAGGAAATTAACGTCTTAGAATTGACAAGACAGTTGACCCTGAGTGGTCAGCTAAATATCTACAGTGGATCTAAAATATGAATAGTTAATTATAACTAGTTATGGTTAATTATTCATATTTCCCCATGAGCTGATTCGCTACATATGTAAGTGAGGATAGGAAAATAAAGTAAACTGTGACAAATTAAACCCAAAAATTCTTCATACAGTGGACTACCAGTAAAACTGATACAAATTTGGGACCAAAAATTATTCAGACCGAGGCTGGGGGAAAAAACTGAAGTTCAGGTTTGCATGAAGCTGGGTGACAGAATGCCCAGGAGACTACAGGCTGTCATTAAGGCTAAGTATTGATAGTTGTGTAAATACTGTCATACTAATGTAAGGGATTCATCACAGTCACTGCAGTCACCAGCCCGGATAATCACCCGATCACAGTCACATGAGTTCTGATCACCCGCACCTGCTGTCACCAATCAAGCCACACTACAAATACACAGTACAAGCTCAAATGCCTATCTATGATGACTCCGTTGGACTGGAAAGCTTCATGCAAAAGACCAACCAAATTTCCCAGCATCTGTCCGCCTGCCACCGAAGCCGCCAACCAGTCTGTCACGCCCGGCACGGGTTCCCCAGTACCAGAGCCGATGCAAGTGGACACCTCCCGGCTCACCCCGTCGGAACGTGCTCGCCGTCTCGTGGGCGGTCTGTGTCTATACTGCGCGGCGGCGGATCATTACATCAGGACCTGCCAAGTCAGACCCCCACGTCCTGCGGTGAGTACCCTCCAACTAGACCCTGTCATTTCCACGTTGTCAATGCTATCGGTACAACTACTCACCCCAGACCTTTCTGTTTCAGTCCCTGCCCTCGTCGACTCGGGCTCCTTGGTCTCCTCAGGCAATTTCATATCCCAGGACCTATTGAATCGTCTCCATCTGCCCCGGAAACGTCATGCCCAGGAGCTCCGAGTCGAGACCATCCAGGGAAAACCGTTAGGATGGGGGTGGGTGAAATATAGAGCACGACACTACGGCTCAAGATTGGCACTCTCCACGAGGAGGGAATCACGTTTCTGGTACTGGAGGGACCCACCGTGGATATCCTGGGACGCCCCTGGCTAGTTCTCCATTCTCCAGAGATCAGATGGGACTCGTGTGAGGTGACTCGCTGGAGTGAGCACTGTCACTGCAACTGTCTCACGTCATTACCCACTCCGCTACCAGGATCTCACTCCGTTCAAGTTGCATCTACCCTCATCGAAAGCCCCGAACCTCGGGAGAAGGTCACGGTCCCATCTGATTACCTGGCATTCCAGGATGTCTTCAGTAAGCAGGCAGCCACTCAGTTACCACCTCATCAGCCATGGGACTGTGCCATCGATTTGCTGCCTGGAGCAAAACTCCCCAAGGGAAGAGTATACCCGTTTTCCATCCCGGAGCGCAAGGCGATGGAGGAATACATCAAGGAGGCTCTTAACCAAGGATTCATCCGACCTTCCACGTCTCCAGCTGCGTCTAGTTTCTTCTTCGTGGGCAAGAAGGATGGGGGCTTGCAGCCTTGTATTGACTATCGGACTCTGAACTCCCATACGGTGGAACTGCCCTATCCACTTCCCCTGGTCCCGGCCACCCTCGAGGAACTCCGTGAGGCCTGCATCTTCTCCAAGCTGGACCTGCGAAGTGCATACAACCTCGTTCGAATCCGGGAGGGCGACGAGTGGAAGATGGCATTCATTACACCATCTGGCCACTATGAGTACCTGGTAATGCCGTATGGGCTAGCCAACGCCCCGTCTGTCTTCCAAGGATTCATGAACGAGGTGTTCCGGGAGTTCCTCCACCGCTCTGTGATTGTCTACATCGACAATATACTCATTTACTCCCGGAGCGTGGCCGACCATCGCCAACACGTTCAGCAGGTCCTACAGAAGATACGTCAACACCATCTCTTCTTAAAGCTGGAGAAATGTGAATTCCATTGCCCCACGGTACATTTCCTGGGTTACATCGTCGGCCAGGAAGGGATTCAGATGGATCAGGGGAAGGTTGATGCAGTCAAGGAGTGGCCTCTTCCCCAGACCGTAAAGGAGCTTCAGATATTTCTAGGATTTGCTAACTTCTATCGTCGATTCATCCAGGATTTCAGTTCCCACACTGCTCCTTTGACTTCCATGCTCCGAGGAAAACCCAAGTCCCTGTCCTGGACCACCAGTGCCCACGAAGCTCTCACGAGACTCAGAACAGCCTTCAGCACGGCCCCCATCCTTCATCATCCTGATCCAGACATGCCGTTCGTAGTGGAAGCGGATGCCTCCACCACCGGCGTTGGGGCCGTGCTGTCCCAACATTATGGTGAGCCTCCTCGCCTCCAGCCTTGCGCATACTATTCTAAGAAACTGACCCCAGCAGAGCAGAATTACGACATCGGCAACCGGGAGTTGTTGGCCATCAAACTCGCCGTGGAGGAGTGGCGGCACTGGCTGGAGGGAGCAAACCATCCATTCACAGTCATTACGACCACAAAAATCTCCAATACCTCAGAGAAGCCAAGACACTTAACCCACGCCAAGCCCGCTGGGCACTGTTCTTCACCAGGATTCAGTTCACCATCACCTATTGTCCCGGGAATCGTAACAATAAAGCCGATGCCCTCTCACGCATGCACTTCCCAGACACACCTTCCGATCCCGAGCCCATTCTCCCTCCAGCCCTGATTGTAAGCCCCATTCACTCGAACATCGACGAGGACATTGGAGCCGCCACTCTTACCGAACCTGCACTGCCGGGAGGCCCAGAAGGGAAAACGTATGTGCCCACTCTCCAACGACAATCCCTTCTGGGCTTCGTTCACAATGTACCGGACTCTGGACACCCAGGCAGCCAACGGACCCTCTCGCTCCTCCAGGCGCGGTACTGGTGGCCCAGTATGACCCAGGATGTCATCCGGTGCGTCCGAGGTTGCTCAGTCTGCGCCATGTCTAAGCCCCCTCGTCACCTCCCCGTAGGCAAGCTAGTGCCCCTGCCGATTCCCCATCGGCCCTGGTCTCACCTGGGAATCGATTTTGTGACTGACTTATCCAACGCCGATGGGAATACCTGCATCTTGGTGGTTGTAGATCAGTTTTCCAAAGTCTGCAAGCTAATCCCCCTCCCAGGACTTCCAACCGCTCTCGACACTGCAGAAAGTTTATTCACTCACGTCCTCAGAAACTTCGGAGTCCCCAAGGATGTAGTATCTGACAGGGGACCGCAGTTTATCTCCCGCGTCTGGAGGGCATTCTTCCGACTACTAGGGGTCACGGTCAACTTATCCTCAGGCTACCATCCCCAGACAAATGGCCAGACTGAGAGGAAGATCCAGGAACTCGGACGTTACCTCCGGGCATATTGTAACGATGACCAACACAGCTGGAGCCGTTTCCTCCCTTGGGCCGAGTATGCATAGAATTCCCTGACCCAGACCACCACCGGCCTCATGCCATTTCAGTGCATACTATATTCCTGATACAGAGGCAGATCAACGAAGTCACCTACGAACTCCGACTCCCACCCAGGTACCGAATTCACCCCATGTTCCATGTGTCCCTCCTTAAACCGCACTCTCCCTCTGCTCCAGGTCCCACCGAACCCGACGAACCTCCTCCTCCAGAAATCCTTGACCAACCATCCATCTACCTGGTCCGAGACATCTTGGACTCGTGGCGACGGGGTGGTCGGCTGGAGTATCTAGTAGACTGGAAGGGTTATGGACTGGAGGGACGTTCTTGGGTGGCCAGGGACGACATTCTGGACCCTTTGCTACTGGAGGACTTCCATCGCACCCATCCTGGTTGCCCCGCACCCAGAAGCCGTGGCCGCCCCCGTCGCCACCCCTGGGGGGGGGGGCGTAATGTCAGGGATTCATTACAGTCACTGCAGTCACCAGCCCGGATAATCACCCAATCAGTCACCTGAGTTCTGATCACCCGCACCTGCTGTCACCAATCAAGCCACACTACAGATACACACACATCACAGTCACTCACTGTCTGGTCTACCGTTCACTCCTATGGACTGCCCTGGACTCTCTATACGATATTCTCCTTGAAAGACTTACCTTCTGGTTCTCCCGCGATCCTCCAACGACTCCTTGGAAGCTGTTCCACGAATTCCCCCGAAACTGGCATCAGACTCTCACCCTCAGACCTCAGATAAGAACCCTGGAATCATTCACCCTGTAGACACTCCCCTGCCTTAACCTAACCCATTCCACTTCTCCACATCCTGTACCAATAAACCCTCTTGTCTTTCACTTACCCGTTGTGTCTGGCCTTGCTTTATGACAACTAACAGCTGTCTAATTTTTGGTTGATTGTAAGGGTACATTAGGCTACATGCCTTTCTATCAAAGTTATCTATTAACAAGCTGAATTTGTTCTGACAGTTTAATTCTGAGTTCTTGTTATATTGTATTACCATTTTCTAAACTATAGCGAATAAACCGTGATAATGTGAGAAGGTTGAAGGTGTCTGAATACATTTTGGTTTGACTGTATCTATTTGATAAATGAAGTTAACAAAATAACATTATACATACTCTTTTGGTTTCTGTACCCAATATTTAAAAAATTTACAAATGCAATAAAATATTGGTATCGGTACTCTGTATCGGCAAGTACCAAAAATAAAAGTATCGGGCAAGTACTGGAAAAAGTGGTATTGGTGCATCCCTATGATAGACACTATCACTCAGGCTAGATCCCCCTCTACTAGGCAGGCTTATGCGCTGAAGTGAAGTCTGTTCATTGACTGCTGTTCTTCTCGTCGAGAGGACCCCCAAAGATCCCCGGTCAACGTTGTGCTTTCCTTCCTGCATGAAATGTTGGAGTGGAGGCTGTCCCCCTGCTATGTTCCCTTGGTAAACCTGTGTCTTTCCCTGGTCTGTTCCGCTGTCAGTCCCTGTTGTGTTCCCCTGAACTGGGGTCAGGACAGTGACCTTAGACTGTGGGTCTTATTTTGTATGTTTTACCTTTTATTTAATCAGGAAATTAAAAACTCTTGATTTAAAATCTCATTTACAAGAGGGTTCTGGCCAAGATAGGCAGCACAATTATGTACACATAAAACAAAATACATTTGTTTACATACACAGAAACGTACAAAAATCACTCAAAAATTTACAATCAGGTGACTCTACAAATAGATCCTTTAAAATACATTTAAAATAATTTAGTGATATCAACTCTTTTAAGCATAACTTATCTTGTAGTTGATTCTAATCAAATGGAGCAGCATAACTAAATGCGCGTTGACACATATTAGTACGAACTTTAGCGATGCTTAAAAGATAATAGTCTTGTGAGTGAAGCCCATAATTCTTTACACCTTTTTGAAAGATATTCTGCTGTAAATACGAAGGAAGTAAACCTAAAATTATTTGATATATAAATAAGTACCAATGCTTAAGTCTACAGGATGACAACGCCGGCCATCCATGAATTACTCACCCTCAAGGCATCCTAGGTGTGTATGACTTTCTTCTTTCAGACGAATCCAGTCAGAGTTATATAAAAAAAATAATTTTTGATCTTCCAAGCTGTTTAATGGCAGTCAGTAGGTGTTGCAGTTCATCAGTCCAAAACAAGTGAAATAAAGCGCATCCATCCATAATAAAAAGTACCTCACACGGCTCCGGGGGGTGAACAAAGACCTCCTGTAGTGAATCGATGCATTTTTGTAAGAAAAATAACCATATTTAAAACGTAATAATTTAATCGAGCTTGCGCTCACTGTTGTACACGGAAGCAGCTCCGGGCGGATGACGTAGAATGTCGGCATTGCGCATGCACACTCAGAAGTGACGAACGTGGAAGCACAGGGGAGAGATCAAAACAAAACAACGGTCACGAATTAGAAGTACAAAATGAGGATTTGTAAAGAAGAATGTCAGAGGATTTCGATGTAAGCCAAGAGGAGACTGGTTTTCCTTTACTAAAGTAAGGAAACTTTGCTTCGTTTGCTCCAGTAAACAAACGTTGGTTTTCATGAGACTCACTTGCGCATGCGTAATGCCGACATCTTACGTCATCCTCCCGGAGCTGCTTCCCTGTACAACTGTTGGCGCAAGCTAGATTAAAGTGATTATTATGTTTTGAATATGGATATTTTTCTTACAGAAACGCATCGATTCGCTACAGGAGGGCTTTGTTCACCCCCCGGAGCCGTGTGAGGCACGTTTTATTATGGATAGATGCGCTTTTTAACTTCTTTTGGACTGATGAACTGCAGCACCCGCTGACTGCCATTAAACAGCTTGGAAGATCAAAGTAAATTTTTAATATAACTCCGATTGGATTCATCTTAAAGAAGAAAGTCATATACGCCTAGGATGGCTTGAGGGTGAGTAAATGATGGGCTAATTTTCATTTTTGGGTGAACTGTCCCATTAATGCTCCATGATAAACTGAATCCAACGCCAGTCTTGTGATTTTTATTACTACATGGATGTGTCTTATAATCCTGTATGTACGGGGAGTGGCTTGGTATGCAAATTCAACTCACCAATAGTCATTGGTAATTTCTTGTAATGCTCAGAGGTGATTGGGGCTCCCAAGTGAGACCCCTAATGTCAGTGTTGATGTAACGTCTCTGTTCCCTCCTTCAGGGAATGAGGGTTACATAACTTAACCGAGGCGTTACATTACTAACTACAGATTTCATCATGTATTCTGTAATTAGTAACAAACTACACTTTGTAAGTAAACTATACAGCTCTGCCCGATTTGTTTTTCATTGATCCTTCAGTTCAGCCTCTCTTTTACTGAATGGAGGCTCTCTTTTGAATATTCACTGTGATTACACACTTATTTCAGGAGCTTAAGCCCAAAATGATCTCTCTGATGAAAAAAGAGCTGAAGAGGTTCAAGAGAATACTGAGTCCAGATTACCCAGCATGCTCTGAGATAGAGCAGGACGATGATAAAGGTCAGGACATAATCAGAGAGGGGATTCTGAAAATAACACTGCACATCCTGAGGGAGATGAGCCAGACAGACCTCGCAAACACATTACAGACCAGTAAGAACTATGAATCTTTTGCCTATTTTATTACATTAAAACAGTCTGTATGTAATGATCACTTGAGAAATCATATAATATTTGGATAAAGGCATGCAAATGATATGTCAGTAATAAAAGCATAAATAAAACATGAAATTTAAAAAGATTAATTAAAATAATTTGTCATAAATGAGAATTTCAGTGAGGATTTGTCATGTTTATCAGTGACTTTACCTTTGGTTTTATATTTGTGAATAAGAACATATATTTGGTTGTCATTCATTCTTTCAGAATGTGCCCCTGCATGTCAACAAAAACTCAAATCCAAACTTAAAGAAAAATTTCAGAGAATTAACGAAGGGATATCCAATCAAATGAGCTCACCACTTCTTAATGAGATCTACACAGAGCTCTACATCACAGAAGGAGGGATTGGAGAAGTCAATAATGAGCATGAGGTGAGACAGATTGAGACAGCATCCAGGAGACCAGAGACACGGGAAACACCAATCAAATGCAATGACATCTTTAAAGCCTTACCTGGACAAAACAAACCCATCAGAACTGTACTGACTAAAGGAGTTGCTGGAATTGGCAAAACAGTGTCTGTGCATAAATTTATTCTGGACTGGGCAGAAGGAAACACTAATCAAGATGTTCACTACATTTTTCCACTTCCCTTCAGAGAGCTCAATGTGATGAAGGAGAAAAACATCAGTCTGATGGATCTTCTTCATCTTTTTTTTAAAGATGCAAAAGAACTGAGACCAACAGACCATGAGGATTACAAAATTTTGTTCATATTTGACGGAATGGATGAATGTCGACTTTCTTTAGATTTCCCAAAAAATCCAAACCTGTTTGGTGTAACAGAACCGGCCTCTGTGGATGTGCTGCTGACCAATCTCATCAAGGGGAATCTGCTTCCATCTGCTCTCCTCTGGATCACCTCTCGACCAGCAGCAGCCAGTCAGATCCCTCCCGAGTGTGTCGACCAGGTCACAGAGGTACGAGGGTTCAACGACCCTCAGAAAGATGAGTATTTCAGGAAGAGAATCAGTGATCAGAGTTTGGCCAATAGAATCATCTCACACATGAAATCATCAAGGAGCCTCTACATTATGTGCCACATCCCAGTCTTCTGCTGGATTTCAGCCACTGTTCTACAGAGAATGTTGAGTGAAGCAGAGAGTGCAGAAATCCCCAAGACTCTCACTCAAATGTTCACTCATTTCCTGATCTATCAGACCAAACTGAAGTCTCTGAAGTATGATGGAAAATGTGAAGTAGATCCTCAACTGACTCAGAATAATATTATGTCACTAGGAAAGCTAGCTTATGAACAACTAGAAAAAGGGAACCTGATTTTCTATGAGGATGATTTGAGAGAATGTGGCATTGATGTCAGAGAAGCATCAGTGTACTCAGGAATTTGCACTCAGATCTTCAGAGAGGAGTTTGAATTGTACCTGGGGAAAGTGTACAGCTTTGTGCACCTGAGCATGCAGGAGTTTCTTGCTGCTCTATTCAAGCTCATTTCATTTATTGGGAACAAAGAGCACAACTCAAAAATAACTGAGTTTTTAAAGAGTGAAGTGAACCAGGCCATACAGAGTGAGAGTGGACACCTGGATCTTTTCCTCCGATTCCTTCTAGGGCTCTCATCGGTGTCCAGTAAGGCTCTTCTACGAGGTTTATTGGCACAGACAGATAGCATGTCCTCCAGCCAAGAGGAAATAGTTGAGTACATTAAGATGAAGATCAGGGAGAATTCCTCTCCAGATAAATCCATCAATCTCTTCCACTGTCTGAATGAACTGAACGATCACTCATTAGTGCAGGAAGTCCAGACATACTTGAGCAAAACAGGTGCAAGCCGTCTGTCTGGAGCCAGACTCTCTCCTAGTCAGTGGTCAGCTCTGGTGTTTGTGTTGCTAAACTCAGATGAGGAGCTGGATGAGTTTAATCTAAGTAAATATGATCAATCAGAGGAATGTCTTCTGAGGCTGCTACCTGTAGTGGAAACATCTAGAAAAGCAGAGTCAGTATATTGAATATATGTATCTTTTTTGTGTGTGTGTGTGGAATAAACTTCAGTTCTCAAACACTGTACAGTACAGAAGTATGTATTAACATATCAATTTAGAAATAATAATAGAATATGCACTACATGTATATACACAATTTGTATGAAATTAACACAATAACACAGTTATAAACAAAATAAATGATATTGCATAGATCACTGTTATGATTTATTTAGTTATATAGTTTGAAATGATGTAAAATAATCTATAAAATTGTATGTTGCTTACACTGAATATATGGTTATTTCTTTCCTAGTCTGAGTGACTGTGGTCTCACAGAAAAAAGTTGTTTGGCACTGGCCTCAGCTCTCTCCACAAGTCTGAGAGAGCTGAACCTGAGTAACAACAACCTAGAAGATTCAGGACCGAAGCACCTCTCTACTGGACTGAAGAATCCACAATGTAAACTGGAGACATTAAAGTAAGATTCCTTAAAGCAGTCACAATAGGTTTTACTGGCCTCAGATAACAGGAATGTAGCACTTTTGGATTTATGAACTCTTTTGGAGATATAATATGAAGTTGTTAAATAATTTTTTTTTTTAATTGTTTGACATTATTATTTATAGCACGTAAAAAGGCACTGCATGTTAAAATGATATTGTTACAAACTACCAGGCTCGGCAGCGTAACATAAATGGGGAGGCCACGCACAAAGTAAGTTAACTCAAAATAAACATGTTTTAACGTAATACTACTAAAGTTAAACCCAAAAAGGGAAGAGAAAAGAAAACAACAAAATATCAAATATTAAAGAAAGCTCAAAGTCTGGTGCTGGAGAGAAGTCAAGCTCAAACGGGGCACACCACACCGGAGGACAGAGATCTTATGAGGGGCCGTATAGGCCATAATTATTGAAAAGCCTCTTACAAACACTAGTGAAATGAAAAACATTGATAAACCTTAATGAAATTCATTCATATGCATTATAAAAACCTCTTGCATAGGCTTACACTAGTGAAAACATTGATCAGCCTTAGTGAAATTCATTCATAAGCATAACTGAAAAACCTCTGTGGAAACATCTAGAAAAGCAGAGTCAGTATATTGAATATATGTATCTTTTTTGTGTGTGTGTGTGGAATAAACTTCAGTTCTCAAACACTGTACAGTACAGAAGTATGTATTAACATATCAATTTAGAAATAATAATAGAATATGCACTACATGTATATACACAATTTGTATGAAATTAACACAATAACACAGTTATAAACAAAATAAATGATATTGCATAGATCACTGTTATGATTTATTTAGTTATATAGTTTGAAATGATGTAAAATAATCTATAAAATTGTATGTTGCTTACACTGAATATATGGTTATTTCTTTCCTAGTCTGAGTGACTGTGGTCTCACAGAAAAAAGTTGTTTGGCACTGGCCTCAGCTCTCTCCACAAGTCTGAGAGAGCTGAACCTGAGTAACAACAACCTAGAAGATTCAGGACCGAAGCACCTCTCTACTGGACTGAAGAATCCACAATGTAAACTGGAGACATTAAAGTAAGATTCCTTAAAGCAGTCACAATAGGTTTTACTGGCCTCAGATAACAGGAATGTAGCACTTTTGGATTTATGAACTCTTTTGGAGATATAATATGAAGTTGTTAAATAATTTTTTTTTTTAATTGTTTGACATTATTATTTATAGCACGTAAAAAGGCACTGCATGTTAAAATGATATTGTTACAAACTACCAGGCTCAGGGCAGCGTAACATAAATGGGGAGGCCACGCACAAAGTAAGTTAACTCAAAATAAATAATAATGTTTTAACGTAATACTACTAAAGTTAAACCCAAAAAGGGAAGAGAAAAGAAAACAACAAAATATCAAATATTAAAGAAAGCTCAAAGTCTGGTGCTGGAGAGAAGTCAAGCTCAAACGGGGCACACCACACCGGAGGACAGAGATCTTATGAGGGGCCGTATAGGCCATAATTATTGAAAAGCCTCTTACAAACACTAGTGAAATGAAAAACATTGATAAACCTTAATGAAATTCATTCATATGCATTATAAAAACCTCTTACATAGGCTTACACTAGTGAAAACATTGATCAGCCTTAGTGAAATTCATTCATAAGCATAACTGAAAAACCTCTTACAAACACGAGTGTAACGAAAAGATCAACCTTAGTGAAATTCATTCATAAACATAACTGAAATAAGTAAAGATTTAAGTAGATGATGAGAGCTAATTTCACTTGAAACGGAAGCTGTGTCAACACTTAATGATTTACAATACCTAGTCCTCTTAGAATTAAAAATGTTTTATGGATTCATTCATCAAGGCATTGGATACATTTTACATTTAAAGATATTTGTGTAACTGTAGCATATACTGAAAAAAATGAGTAAAATGTACTGATAATTTTCTGCCAGGACATTATATTTTAATTTTCCATTGCAGGAAATACGGAAAATAACCATGTTTTACTAAAGAGTAGTAGGATTAACCATGGTTTTTGGCAGATTGTAATTTGTTTAACCACAGTTTTACTACAAATATGGTTACGGTGTACCATGGTTAATTTTCATAAGTTTTCCATTAACCCTAAAACACAACACAATGCAGTGCAAAATTAAAAATACCACCATATACAGTACACTGTATTAATGAAATTGCAATGTGAGAGTTAAATAAGCTAACACTGACCGTTCCCTGGTCTTATATACCCTATATTTAACAATGGGATTCAAATTTAAAATGGTAACTGCTGAATAGAAATTGAAAACAATAAAGTAGCCTACAAAATTAAACACTTGTTGGATGTGCTAAACAATGTTGTATGAGCTCCTCAAGAGTAGGCTACAGTAGCCTATTATTAAAGTATCTGCTACATGCAGTTCTTCAAAATACAACTCTGCTGTTTATGTAGTAGAAAGACAATAAGCAAAATAAATTTAATAATAAATCAATACTGATTTGTGTTATGTTATGTGCAGGGAAAACACACATTTCTGTGAAGTATTATGAAGAGATGCTGATGTCCGCACTGTCAGCTCGGTGGCGCTAGCGAACACGTCCTCCCCGCGCTGTCGAGTCAGTCGCAGATCCATGCCGATGACAGGCCACCACGGCACAAGCTCTGTAACATCGCGCTGTTTTGTCCCACTTTCGGAATTGTACTTGACGATGGTAAAATTATGTTTAAAATATTAATAGCTTCAGACAACTTACGACTAACTGCCATTGCCTAAAATAGTTTGTGAGACACACGCCAAATTAAACGGAAGTGTTGACAGCTTCCGTTTCGAGTGAAATTAGCTCTCATCATCTACTGAAATACTCACATATTTTGCTTATGCTTATGAATGAATTTCACTAAGGTTGATCAAGGTTTTCACTAGTGTATGTAAGAGGTTTTCAGTAATGCAAATGAATGAATTTCACTAAGGTTTGTCAATGTTTTTCGTTTCACTAGTGTTTGTAAAAGGCTTTTCAATAATTATGGCCTATACGGCCCCTCATAGAGATCCTTTAATCTGTCAACTCATCATAGGTAATCTACCGCACCTGCCGCTTGTCTCCACCCTGCAAACAGACAAAAGAAAAAAACACATCACACACAAAACCAGAACCTAGAACGCCACCTAGAGGAGAACAGAACCCGTTTAGGGAACAGGTGCTACCCCGGGTCTTAGCACTATTATAGAGAGCATGGAATTTAAACACTAGGGGGAGGTTGTTCAAAAGTAATCTGATTGGATTTCGGCTATCGGATTGGATCAAATCTTGAAAATAGCTTGTTCAAAAGAAAACAAAGAAATAAGTCTGAATTCGGATTAGATCACAAAATCCCATTTTGGTTTTGATCTGGATTAAATTCAGTTTGTGTTGTTCAAAACGATTGGGATACATTTGATCCAAAAAAATCAGGATCTGATCCCAGCAGAAGGGTGGATTTCAGGAACAAAAATGTAATAAAAACTTCAAAATAACATTTGTAACATGTAATATATCACCGAATATCAAACAAAAATATCACATTTAATTTAAAGGTTTTTATTTTTTTTTATCACTGTTTGTAAACTACATTGGCACAATCATCATAGATGAACCAGCCAGAAGCAGTTATTTGTGTAAATGCAATGCAAAAAAATTCTGAGAGAATGCAAAAGCATTGACTTTTTTTCCATCTCATACAGTATTTTCTTTTTTTTCCCATCACCATGTCCCTTCAGGGGTTTCGTAGAGCATTAGTAATCCAGATTTGGTAATCTGAAAAAGGGTGTATCTGGATCATTGTGATCCAATCCAATTAAACCAGCATAAAAGTAAGATGGATAACCTGATCCTGGATATCAAAACGTGTAATTTCCAAATCCAGATCATTCTGATCCAGATTAAGCTTTTTGAACTTGGATCCTGGCCCTTGAACCACATGGGACACATTAACTGTTAAAAGCAAAACTTGAACTGCTGAACTCGGAGCAGGCATTTTGAAAGGTACACAACGTAATGTTTAACAAAACCAGTGTTAGAGGGGTATTACATTGCATCCCTCTCCTGCCCCGCAGGCTGTCTGGATGCCTAATTAGAGAGGAAGGTTGTGCTGCCCTGGCTTCAGCTCTGAGATTAAACCCTTCTTATCTGAGAGAACTGGATCTAAACTGGAACAAACCAGGAGACACCGGAGTGAAGCTTCTTTCTGTTGTACTGAAGGATCCACACTGTAAACTGGAGAAACTGCAGTAAGTGTTTTTGTTATGTTACAGAATAATAGAAATAATTACACAATTCTGTCAACACTAAACCATAAATGGAAATTTATTTAAAGTCACATTTAGTTTTTTTTTTAGCAAACATTAACTTTTATTCCTCTGAAGGCCAGTTGAGTTGAGAACCCTGTGCAGTTAAGCATTAACAGAATGAACAAATGGCAAAATAATTCAACAAAACAATGACATAAACATCGAGCTTGACTTGTCTATAAACCGATTTGATGAAACTCACCAAAAAGGGTTATAATAACAAAGCTAGACAAGAGACTAAAGGGTCCAGAATTATGCATTAGTTAAGCATGAACACACTAGTAATTAATGATTAACTTAACATATGGGCATATCAGCCATTATTTACACCTTAGCAAACCATATTTTATTTTTGTGTTGTAATGCAATTGGGTATATCTCAATTATTCACCATCTATTATGTTAACTAAACATTATGAAGCTAGTAATTATGTTTAATTAATGCTGGCTTACCGATATAAATTGCTAAATATTGTAATAAAGACAATTGACCCCATGTTCTAAAGTGAAAGTTATATCCACAATAATTATGGAACTTACTGAGTGATATTCAAGTTTATTGACCAGAATTAGACAATTATTATAGCTAAACTGCCACAAATACAGTATTAATAAAGACAATTTGACCCTCTGTTCTTAACTAAAAGTTATATACACATTAATTATGGCACGATGCAACGCGTAAAAAGACAGTATAAGTCATTATAATCCGTAATTATGTCCCCACTGGATGCAACAAATGCCTCGTTTATAATGGGTTTTAATGTTTGTCTCTTCACAACGCACTGGATAGCTAGCCAATCAGAGCACACCTCGCTTTTCAGACCAATAAGCTTTGTAAAAATCGACGCGTTTCAGAAAGGCGGGGCATAGAGGAGAAACAATAATGTACAGTATGTGGAAAATAATGTGTTTTTTTAACCTTAAACCGCATAAACACAGTTCATTACCCCAAATACACAAAATAATGTTCTTTTTAGCAGCATCATATGACCCCTTTAATGTTATCTGTATTATATTCTTTTATCTGCAACAACAATGTGAACATTTATAAACATCCGTTTGGCCATTAACTTTTAAATGCATTATTATGCAAAAAAAAATCCATGGCAGGCAGATCAATGTGCTACTTCTTTTCTCTCTAATACGGTAGGAAGTTAAATGAAATGCAATGTGGAGGATGTGAACTGTGACAAGATGATTGACAGGCCAGTTTACAGTGACCGCGTGCGTGTAATTATGCGACAGAGCGGTCCATTAAAGACGCAATTGTATAATGTGATAGTATGTCCCAAAGCTTGCATACTCTTCTACTACACACTCAAAAGTGTGTACTTTTTCCTCACCAAAAGAGTGCATATTTTAAGGGCGTAGGATAAGTAGTCACATTGGGACGCAGTATATGATTCAAACCAACATTAACCCCCAAAACACGGCATATCGCAATCTTTTGACGAAGCAGGCGATAGCAGAGGTGTAAAGAGTACCTAAAAACCATACTTGAGTAACAGTACAGATACCTTACAGTGAAAATTAGTCCACTACACGTTACAAGTAGAGGTCGACCAATAGTGGATTTTGCCGATACCGATAGCTAGGTTGGACCATACTGGCCGATACCGATTAATTTAAAATTGATACTGAACTAAAATAGTGCTTTATTAACAAAAACAGTACTGAACCATACTAGTAGTAGTAGTAAAAATAATAATAATAGTAATAGTAAATGTTGAAATTAACACACTCTAACAAGGAACAATACTTACACAGCTTTCATTAATCTTAATGCTACAAATGGACTCTTATTTTAAAGTGTTACCATTTCATTTCAACTGTCATGCTTAAAGATGCACATCTTTAAATATATACACAAAGGCTATAGCATTAAAATGATATACATATGGATAGTGTATGTATACTCTCACACTTAAACTGCTTCTATTCTTGAATACTTGATGATTATCTAATCAAAATAAAAGCGCAGCACTGAGTCTAGGAGAACTCACCGGTATCACACACACTCCGGACACGTCACGTTCAACTCGAGCAGCGGTCTAAAACAGTTTATTTAATCACCAAACAGACACAAGTTTACTTCAAGAATGAACAATTTAGCATAGATGAGTTTGAAGTTCGGTGTTTAAAAAACGGAGCAAACGGAAAGAGAAAGCGCGACCTATATTATAGCTCTATAAATGAAGCACACAGACTTTATTAGAGCCACAGAAAGAAAAACGTTTTGCTTTAAATGCACAATACACAATTCATTATGTACATTAACAACGATTCGGGACCAATATAATGTAATTTAAAGGAAAACTATGTGAATGGCGCTCTGTG